AATGTTAATGATAGTGTAGGTGGTAGTCCACATTGGGTTGTCATGAATATCTAAGGAGATAATTGAATACTTCGACAGTTTTGGTCCAAAATAGGTTTTAAAGTTGTACAATAGATTACATCTCAATGATGTGTGTAACATCCCACAGTATCAGGATTTGTTCAGTGTCTTATGTGGATACTAACTATTGTTTGTATTACATGAATGACCACAGTATGGGGAAGACATATTATAACGTCATAAAAGTGTTTTCCCATACTGATTATGCTTATAGTGAAAAACTCATAAAATAGTACTTCATAGAAGCATATATGCGTAAGATGTCGAAAAGGTGATAAAGGGGACACTGGAGCACAGGGACCTAAGGATGATGAAGGTGACACAGGGCCACAGGGGCCATCTGGTAGTGGTTATTCTGCAGACTTTTCAACTGTTTTATTATTATTGGATGGAACTCAGATAATGACAGGTAATTTGCATATGAATAGTAAAAAGGTTTTTAGTTTTGGGAATCCATCAGGTGTAACAGATGCCAGTAATTCAAAGTATGTTGATACCATTTCAAACAACAAACTGAGTGGCTCTGAGACTTTCCAAGGTGATATAAATACGAACAACAACTTTTAAGCAACAGTACAAGAGATAGTTCCCTTGTGATTGATTAATTATTTATTAAGTATTATATTGTAATCAGTACTAATTAGTTTTAACATATTGTTCCAGTAGTTGTGATAATATGAAAGGGTTTTCTTTGATTTGGTTATCTTTATGTAACCTACATTGATTTGTTTATCATTTAATATCATGATGAAATTAAAATTAATCATCGCTTTTCTATTACCATTGATCTGTGGTTACCATTTATATTTTCAAAGACTGTTAGACGTTGCCTTATTGCCTTATTTTTGTTCTTTGGTGTTATTATCATGTCATACTTTTTGGTTGGACTAAATATTACCCTAATTAGGAAAGTATTTCCTGAAATATGTTGATCTTCCTATTATTTCACACTGGTTATTATGGAAGCTACAAAACTCTTTCATTGGTTCATAACAATCTACTTGCCCACAATTGGTGCACAAAATCACATGTTCTTTATTCTCCGAGCACTGTTTCTCCCAACATTTCTCTACAATGACTGATCGTTCCTTTATTTGCTTATAACAACGAATTACTTCTTTCAATTCAACATGAATTATTTTATTTGAATACCATATATCATAATATTACATAGATATTATATGTTTAAATATTATAAAGGGTTATCCTTGGTCTCTTTTAATTATATTTCATATTACATAATTTCTCTTCTGCTTCTAATATATTGTCCCTATTAAAATATCTTGTATATCCTGTATAAATATGTATTTTATCTCGGTCATCAATCCAATAGGCATTATCATCCAGTTCACTATCATCTATAAAGCTACTGTCATAACTATCACTACTATCTCAAGAATCGTCTTCACTCTCATATACAAAATCGCCATCTTGACTACTATGATAACTACTATCATCTGATTATATTTCCTGAGATTCCATGTATACCCATACATTAGATAAAAATCGTAGAATTTCCAAGAATTATGATAGCATATGGATTCTAGGAAATAATAAGTATTATAAGAAAAAGCCAGTCCAAAATTACCACGCAGAATCACTGATATCTGGTGAATATGCGCTGAAGCACCAAGTACTACACCACTTTCTTAACTAGTTAAACCACTTAAGCTAGATTGTGTAGTTTGTGTAATGGAATTATTCAAGCCAGTCATGCATTTTGTGCAGTTGAACCATTTTAACTACTTCAACCAATTAAGACAGATTTTGCAATCTGTGCAGTTTAACTGTTCTACCTGGTTTGAATATTTTACAAGTGTAACCAATTAAAGTAGTTGACCATTTTAAATACTTCAAGAAACTAAGAAAGAATGAGCAGTTTGTGCCGTTTATTCCCACAATTTTAAGTACTCCAACGAGTTGAGAAAGATTGTGCAATTTTTATCAATTGACCTTCGACTGTTAAACCACTTGAACTATTTCAGAGTATTGTGGATTGTTCAGTTTAGTGTACTATTTTTGTGTAGATTGTGCAGTTGAACTGATTCAGTTAGTTATGCTTTATTAGCTTGAACAAAACTATCTTCGCTGGTTGTACTATTCCACTAGTTAGTAAGACTATCAAAAACAACTAAACTGCACTAACTGCACAATCTATCTGAACTAGTTCAAATGGTCAAACTAGCTGAAATTGTTTAAGTGGACAAATGCATAACTAGCTTAATAGGTTCGACTGCACCAACTTCTCAATCTAGGTGAACTGGTTGAAATGGTCATGAAATAATCAAAGTAGCGACAACTGTAAGTGCACAAATTGCACTATCTATCTCAAATGGCCGATGTAGTTCAAATGCTCAAACTAGGTTAATTGGTTCAACCTTACAAAATGCAAACTAGCTCGATGGGATCAGCTGCACAAACTGCACAATCAAGCTTAATTGGTTAAACTTGTTAAATGGTTAAAGTAGCTAAGACAGTTTAACTGCACAACTTGCATGATCTACCTTAATTGATAAACGTTGTTCAAATGGCCATACTAGCTTCAATGGTTCAACTTGACAAAATTCAGAACTAGCTTAGATGGTTCAACTGATTAAATAGTCAAACTAGGGAAGACAGTAAAACTGCATGAAGTAGTGCAATGGTCAAACTGCCTTCAATTGTTGAAATGCACAAACGGGAAAATGTTGCCCGTTTGTTTAAGAAGTTAAATGATCAAAGTAGCTCAGTTAGTTCAACCAGTTAAATAGTCTAATGGGCAAAGACAGTCATGTGCATAAATAGTCCAATATTAATTCGTTGAAGTTGTTCAACGCTCGACCGAACTAGCTAAAATGAGTCAACTGGACAAAATGCACATCTATCTTAATAAGTTCAAATGCACGAACTGCAAAATCTAGCATTATTAGTTCAAATTGTTAAAATACAGTAATATGCCGATTACTTGATTACTATATTTGAGCATATAATATCTATGAAATGTTATAATATATTGTATTGTAATAAAATAATTCATGATGAATTGGATGAAGTAATTCGCTGTTACCCTTCCAAATATTGTGTACCACCTATTATTAAACAAGATGATGACAAATTGAATAACAGATTTAGTTTCTTGAACCTCTTATAGGCTTTTTTAAACAACCAAAGTTTCTCGGGGTAGTATTTGTGTAATAATGTTAGTTCATTTATTGCGTCTTTGTTTAATGATTTATCTATATGATTAAAGTTTGCAACACTCCTTTTGTTGAAGCTTATATATATGTTTATATTAATCAGATATTTCTCATCATTAATTGAGCATAAAGCCCACCATAGAGAGTGCCATTATCTACACCGAATGATATAGGGTGAACGGTAAATTTTGCAGATATTCCAAGAAATGTAACATCTATCCATTCATTGTTTGTATTTTGTGCAAATACAGTGTATCGCTTACTAATGGTCCAGAAGTATCATTTACTTTATATAGAAATGTGTTGCAGGCCCCTTGTAACCATATCTTTGATGAAATTCATATGTTCCATCCATACCAAAACATTAATTTGTCACTATACACTGTGAAAAGTATATTATTGGAAACTCCACATTTTGATCTTGATATTAAGATTTGGTTTCCTTTTCATCATCATGTGCCATTTCATAATTAAAAAAATATACAGTTACAAATACCAATGTCGCTGCTTGCTTAACATCATCCACATATGATTTCTTTACAGCATCGTTATCGTTTGTTGGTGTAGCTAAATTGATTATGTCTTTTATTACACCCATTTTGAATCACTGGTGGTCCCTGTAACCTGATTGACTCCAGTTGGTGCGATTTGTGAATAAATTGCACCATTTTTTGCTTTAAATCGTATCCTTTTCCCAGCCAATGAGGAGGCTGCACTAAAAACAAAACAGGCAATCAGATTTCAAGGTCTGTTTAAAGCAACCAATCAAATTTCAGGAAAATGAAAGACAAAGAGTGTAGTAGCAAACTTTGCAACTTTTGTTTTCAAAACTCTTATTCTTCCCCCCCCCCCAAAAAAAAAATGAATGAGGATAAGCAGTTGAAAATTTTGCAGAATCATCACTACCAAATGGCCCCTGTGGCCCTGTATCACCCTTATTACGACCTCTGACATCAATGTCATCTTTATCAACCTTTGTATCTCCTCTGTTACCTTTTGGAGCCTAAGGACCAGTATCTTCCTTTCGGTCCTTGTGCTCCAGTGTCTCCTTTGTCACTTTTAGGACCCTGAGACCCAGCACTACCACTACCAAGTGGCCCTTGTACGCTAGTATCACCCTTGAGGCTTCCTGTGCACCAGTATCTCTTTTGTAACTATTATCTCCCTTAGCTTCCTGTGCACCAGTATCTCGTTTTAGACCTCTATCATCTTTTTTCTTTCTGGACCAGTATCACCCTTATCACTTCTCTGTCCCGGTGGCCCTCCCGGTCTTTCAACACCTTCCACAGTTGTATCTATTTTACCATGATTTCCAGTAAACATACCCATTATAATTTATGCTTATATAAAAAACTGTGTTATGAATTTTTTATTGTAAGCAAAATCAGTATGGGTAAACACTTTTACGACATTATAATGTCTTTCCCATGCTGTGGTCATTCATGTAATACAAAGAATAGTTATTATCCACATAAGACACTAACCAAATCGTGATACTGTGTGCTGTTATGCATATCATTGATATTTAATCTATTGCACATCCTTATAACCTCTTTTGGACAATTGAGGCCAAAACTATTGAAGTATTCAATTATCTCTTTAGATATTCCTAACAACCCAATGTGTACCACACCCACATTGCTATCAAGATTCATAACATTATCCTATCCTATGTTTATCACTTATTTGATTTTTAAAAAACACACTCATAAACTGCTCTATTGCCATTCACTTTACTTAGTTAATATTACAATTGGACGAGCTTCATCGCCCACTAGAAGAGCTCCGTTGAATGGTGAGATTTTTCCCCGCCAGCGTGCTTTTCCTTTGCGTCCTTTTCGTTTTCCTTCTATGAAAACCAGCTCTCATGGTACCTGTGTTATTAGACCAACCACCAATGAATGGTGGTGGTGCTTGAGGATACACTTCTCCCCCTTTAGACCAACCACCACTATGCGTTTTGTCCAGTTTAACCATTTCAATTAGTTCTGAATTATGTCCACTCGAACAATTTAGGCTTGATTGACCATTTGAACTAGTCTAACCAATTGACATAGATTCTGTAGATTTTGCAGTTATACTGTTTGCGATAGTTTAACCATTTTTTGCTGGTTAAACTAAATAACTTAGTTATGCATTTTGTCTGGTTGAACTTTTAAACCTAGTTTGATCAATTTATGCAGGTTAACCGTGTCCCTTGTTTGACTATTTAACCAGTTGAACGAATTAACCTACTTTGACAAGTTTAACTATTACATTCAATTCAGCTACATTGTGCAGATTATGCAGTTGAACCATTTGAGCTAGTTATGCATTTTTTCCAATTGAGCCATTAAAGCTAGTTATACATTTCTCCTCTTAATGGTTAAGCCACTAAGGCTAGTGTCATTTAACGACCTTAACCAATTAAGATAGCTTGTCAAATTTGAGCGCTTCAACTCTTTTCATTACCTTGACTATTGAAACCAATTAAAGTAATTAAGCCCTTCAATCAATTAGGCTAGTTTGACCATTTTAACAAGTTGAACTAATTAATTAAAACATTTAAGCTATTTATGCATTTTTTCAAGTTAAATATATTCAGCTAGCTTGACCATTATAACTGCTTCAACCATTTTATATAGATTGCGCAATTTCTGCAGTTTGACGGTGTTTGCTAGTTTTATTCTTTATCCAGATCAACCAATCAAGCTTGATTAAAAAGTTTTTCCAGTTGAACGTATTAAGTTGGTTATGCATTTTGTCCCCTTAAAGAATTTTAGGTACTTTAACCATTTAAATAAGTTTAGCCAGTTGAAAATGGTTTTGCAATTTTTTCAGGTTTATTGTTTTCGATAGTTTGACTTACTGGTTAAATAGTCAAACCAGCAAAACTAGATTAAAAAGCTACACTAGACAAAGTACATAACCTAACTAGGTTAAATAATTCAAACGGTAAAATAGTCAAAATATCGAAAACAGTGTAACTGCACAATTTAAACAATCTATATCAAAAAGTTAGACTAGTTCAAATGGTTAATCAAGCTAAAACTGTTCAAGTAGACAAAATACAGAGTTATGCATGGTTCAATAGTTTAAAAGTCAATCGAGCAACAGTTAAATTGCACAAATTGCAAAATTGATCTTAATTGGTCAAAGTAGTTCACATGGTCAAACTACCTCAAATACTTTAACTGGACAAAATGCACAATTAGCTTAATAAGATCAACTGCACAAACTGCAAAATCTAGCTTAATCAGTCGAATTAGTTCACATGGTCAAACTAGCTTAATACTTCCAAAAAAAATGGACTCTTAGCTCAATCAGTTCAATGTCACAACCTGAAACATCTAGCTGAAATGGTTCACCTGGTTTAATAGTCAAATTAAGGTCACCTCAGAAAAATTGCACAATCTCTCTCAACTTGTTGAAGTACTTTAAACGATCAAACCAGCCAAGACAGTCAAACTGCACCGATTGCAAAATCTTTGTTAATTGATTGAAGAAGTTCAAATGATCAAGCTTGCTTAAATGGGCCAATTGCCTAAATTAAGTAATTAAAAATAAATTAACTAGTTGAGTTAATCAAACTAGAAAAGACGGTAAAAGTGCACAAGTTGCAGTATCTATCTGGAGCGGTATATGTTGTTCAAATGCTCAACTTGGGCTAATTGGTTCAACTGGACAAAATGGATAGCTAGCTCGATAATATCAACTGCACAAACTGCACAATCAAACTGAATTGTTTAAACTCGCTAAATAGTCAAAGCAGCTAGAACAGTTAAATTGCACAAATTGCACAATCTTTCTTAGTTGGTTAAACTTGTTCAAGTGGCTTCCATGGCTCGTTCAAATACCTTCCGTGGTTCAACTGGACAAAATGCATAACTAACTTAAACGGTTCATCAAGTTAAATAGTCAAACTAGGCAAGACAGTGCAACGGTCAAACTACCTTCAATTGTTGAAGTGCACAAACGGCAAAATCTAGTCCAATGGATTTAAGAAGTCAAAATAGTCACATTAGTTTAATCGGTTCTACTTCTGAAATAGTCAATTTAGCTTAAATGACAAAATGCCCAACTTGCTGAAAGCTATGACGTTGGCAAGTCCTCTTATTATCAAACCAACGACGAAACAAACTAGTGGGTTCCTTGGTATATTGCTGGCAATTATTGGTTTCTCATTGTTAGTAAAAGCATCAACTGGTAATGGTATTCAGGTTTGTAGCAGATATCAACCGCTACTACCTCTTCCACCACCAAAATCAGATGGTAGTGGCATGCAGGTGACAAAATAAAATGAGTCATTGGTGCCGCATAGACCACCTCCATTTATAGTTAATTGTCCAAAAGAGTGTATCCTCAAGCACCACCACCATTCATTGGTAGTTAACCTAGTTACACAGGTACCATGGCTGCTGGTTTTAATGAAAGCAAAAAAAAAAGACAACCAAAGGAAAACGATTACTGGTGGCGAAAAAAACTCGCCACTGAACGGAGTCCCTCAGTGGGCGCAAGTTTCAAAATAAAGCATTGTCCAATTATGGTATAATTAACCGAGTAAAGAGAATGGGAATAAATCAGTTTATGGGTGTATTTTTTAGAGATCAAATAAGTGATAAGCAAAGGATAGGATAATGTTATAAATCTTGATGACAGTCTGGGTGATGGTACACATTGGGTTGTTACGAACATCGAAAGAGATATTGAATAATTCGACAGTTTTTTCTCAATTGTCCAAAAGAGGTTATAAAGGCGATTAAATATCAATGATGTATATAACAGCACAAAGTATCAGGATTTGTTCACTGTCTTATGTGGATACTAACTAATCTTTGTATTACATGAATGACCACAGTGTGGGGAAGACATATTATAATGTCGCAATAGTGTTTACCCATACTGATTTTGCTTACAATGAAAACTTCCTAAAACAGTTTTTCTTATATAAGCATATATTATAATGGACATATTTACTGTAAATCATAGCAAACTACAGATAGATACAACTGTGGACGGTATTGAAGGACCAGCAGGGTCACCATGACCAAAAGGTGATAAGGGTGATACTGGTTCAAAAAGAGACAAAGATGATAGAGGTCTAAATACTGATGCACGAGGCGCTAAGGACGACGTTGATGCACAGGGGCTATCTGGTATTGGTGATTCTGTAGACTTGTCAACTGTTTTATTGTTGGATGGAACTCAGATAATGACAGGTAATTTACATATGAACAGTAAAAGGGTCGTTAGTCTTGGGAATCCATCAGGTGCAATGGATGCCAGTAACAAAAAGTATGTTGGTACCATTGCAAACAACATACTGAGTGGCTCTGAGACTTTCCAAGGTGATATAAACATGAATAACAACCGTATTAAGAACTTGGATACATCCTTTTCAAATAATGATGCTGTTAATAGGGTATTATACTTGGCATTATACCTGCTGGTGGTTTGATATTAAAAACATGCCATGAAAGGAAAGATTTTAAAAGGATCAAATTATGTCGATTTGCTTTTACTACCTATGTAAAGGCACTCATTAAATTAAGGTCCTATTTAAGAGGAGTGTCATTTGATAAAGAGAGTTATTTGGACCAACTGAAATCTGTAGACAATATTATCCTACACATGTGTTCCTTGGCTGATGATTTTGAGTGACATTACTAGAGGTAGTTTACTCGTGATTGATTTATTATTTATTAAGTATTATGTTGTAATCATTATCAAATAGTTTCAATAAGTTGTTCCAGTAGTTGTGACAATATGAAAGGGTTTTCTTTGATTTGGTTATCCTTATGTTATCTATATTGATTTGCATATCATTTAATATCATAATGAAGCTGATATTAATCATCGGTTTTCTATTACCATTGATCTGTAGTGATGCATTGTTTATCTTTTCAAAGATTGTTTTCTTACTTTTGTTCTTTGTGATTATTATTATCTCATACTTTTTAGTTCGATTAAATATTACCCAATTAAGAAAGTATTTCCTGAGATATATTGACCTCCCTATTATTTTACAGTTGCTATCATGGAAGCTACAAAACTCTTTCATTGGTTTATTGCCATCTTGCTCACAATTCGTGCACACAATCACACGGTCTTTATTCTCCGAGCCCTGTTTCTCCCAACATTTTTCTATTCTATTTTTTTTACTATCATTGATCGTTCCTTTATTTGCTGATAACAAGGAATTACTTCATTCAATTCAACATGAACTATTTTATTGCTATACATTATATTATAATATTTCATAGATATTATGTGTTTAAATATTATTGGGAGCTATCCTTGGTTTCCTTAAATTAGATTTCATACTACGTGATTCCTCCTCTGCGTCTAATATATTTCCCCCGTTAAAATATCTTGTATATTCTGTATAATTATGAATATTATCTTGGTCATCAAAGTGATAGGCATGACCATCCAGTCCACGATAATCCATAAAGCTACTATCATAACTATCACTACTCTCTGAATAATAATGTTGACTATCATATACATAATCACTATCTAGACTATTATTTTAAATACTTCAAGAAACTTTGCTTGATTATGCAGTTTGTGCCATTTATCCACACAGATTGATTTGAGCATTTCAAGTATTCCAACCAGTCGAGAAAGATTGTGTAATTTTTCTTAGTTGACCCTTGACTGTTAAACCACTTGAACTATTTCAGCTAGATTGTCCAGATTGTGCAGTTGAAGTGATTAAGCTAGTTCATGCTAACTAGCTTAAGCATCACTATCTTCGCTGGTTTGACTATTTCACTAGTTAATAGGACTATAACAGCTAAACTGCACTAACTCCACAATCTATCTCAACTGGTTGAACTAATTCAAATGGTCAAACTAGCTTAAATTGTTCAAGGTGACAAAATGTATAACTAGCTTAATAGGTTCAAGTGCACAAACTTCTCAATCTAGTTTAACTGGTTGAAATGGTTAAATGATCAAACTGGCAAAAACTGTAGGAGTGCACAAATTGTACTATCTATCCCAAATGGTCGATGTAGTTCAAATGCCCAAACTAGGTTAATTGGTTCAACCGGACAAAATGCATAACTAGCTCGATAGGATCAGCTGCACAAACTGCACAATCAAGCTTAATTTGTTAAACTCGGTAAATGATCAAAGAAACCAAGAACGTTTAACTGCACAAATTACATGATCTATCTTGATTGGTTAATGTTGTTCAAATTGCCATACTAGCTTCAAAGGTTGAACTGGACAAAATTCAGAACTAGTTTAAATGGTTCAACTGGTTAAATAGTCAAACCAGGGAAGACAGTTGAACTGCCTGAAGTAGTACAATGGTCAAACTGCTTTCAATTGTTGAAGTGCACAAACGGCAAAATGTAGCCCAGTTTCTTTAAGGAATTAAAATGATCAAAGTAGCTTAATTAGTTCAACCAGCTAAATAGTTCAATTAGCGAGGACAGTTATATGCACAAATTGTCCAATCTTAATAGGTTGAAGTTCTATGCTTGCTCGAACAAGCTAAAAAAAGTTCAACTGATCAAAATAAACAACTATCTTAATAAGTTCAACTGCACAAACTGCAAAACCTTGCTGAATTGATTTAAATTGTTGAAATAGTCAATGTAGGTGAATTGGTTCAACTTTAAAAACGGTCAAACCAGCCTAAATGATAAAACTCACGACTTGCCGAAATGTTTCAACAGAAGGAAATGCGTAAATAACTTAATCAGTTCAACTGTATGTACTTTACAAGCTGACTCAAATGCGTCAACTGCTTACAAAGTCAAACAAGCAGAAACAAATAAACTGCAAAAGTTGCAAAAGTTATTTTAATTGGTCGACGTAGTTTACATGGTCAAGTAGCCTAAATAGTTCAACTGGATAAAATGCACAATTAGCTTAATCGGCTTAACTGCTAAAACCGCACAAGCTGAAATGTTCTAACTGGTTAAATAGGCAAACTAGCAAAAGCACTTAAACTGCACAAATTGTACAATCTGTCTTAATCGGTTAAAAAAGCTCAATGGCTGATCTACCTTAAATGGGTCAATAAGAAAAAATTCAGAACTAGCTGAAATGGTTAAACTGGACAAAACCAATAGGTAACTTAAATGGTTCAAATAGCCTAATGTCAATCGAGTGATAACAGTTAAACTGCACAAATTGCGCAATCTATCTAGTCAAAGTAGTTCACATGGTGAAACTAGCTTTGATGGTTCAACTAAACTAAATGCATAAGTATGATATGCACTTGTTCCGGCTCAACTGTTTCAGTTAGCATCACTTTGTCATATAAGGTAATTTAACCACTTTGAGCTACTTCAACCAATTAAGATACATTGTCCAATTTGTGAAGTTAAACTGTTTTCGTCTTGACTACCTAATCAAATGAACCAATAAAACTAGTTTGATTCTCTTAACTAGTGCGGTTTGTGTGAAAGCTTAAATGGTTCAACTGGCTAAATGTCAATCGAGCGATAACAGTTCACCTGCACAATCCATCTTAATTGGTCGAAGTAGTTCACGTAGTCAAACTAGCTTAAATGGTTCAACTGAACAAAATGCATAATTAGCTTAATAAGTTCAACTGCACAATCTGGACAATCTAACTGAAATAGTTCAAGTGGTTTAATAGTCAAAGGTCAACTGAGAAAAGTTGCACAATCTTTCTCAACTGGTTGAAGTACTTTAAATGGTCAAATCAACCTCAATCAATAAACGGCACAAACTGCGCAATCTAGTTAAGTTTCTTGAAGTATTTAAAATAGTAGTCTAGATAGTGATTATGTATATGATAGTCAATACGATTATTCAGATAGTAATGATGTTCATTTTGCGCTTGCTTTCTCTTATGATACTTATTTCCTTGAATCCATATGCCATCATAATTCTTGGAAATTCTATGATTTTTCTCTACTATATGAGTATACATGGAATCTCAGGAAATATATTCAGATGATAGTAGTTATCATAGTAATCAAGATAGTGATTATGTATATGATAGTCAAGACTATTATTCAGATAGTAGTGATAGTTGTGATAGTAGCTTTATAGATGATAGTAAACTAAATGATGATGCCTATTACTTTGATGACACAGATACTGTACATATTCATACAAAATATACAATATATTTTAATGAGGGTAATATATTAGAAGCAGAAGAGGAATTATATAATGTGAAATATAATTTAAGGAAACCAAGGATAACCTCTGATAATATTTAAACTTGTAATATCGATATAATATTATGATATGATGTGCTGTATTAAAATAACTCATGATGAATTGGATGATGTAGTTCGTTCTTACCCCTCCAAATATGGTGTACCACCTATTATTAAACAAGTTGAATGACAGATTTAGTTTCTTAAACCTCCTATAGGCTTTTTAAACAACGAAAGCTTCTTATCGTAGTATTTGTATAATGATGTATTTCATGTATTGCGTTTTTGTTTAACGATTTATCTATATGATTGAAGGTTGAAACACTCCTCTTGTTGAAGCTCATATATAATATGTTTATATTAATTAGATATATTTTATCATTAATTGAGCATAAAGCCCACCATCAAGAGTGCCATTATCTACACCGAATGATATGGAATGACCGGTAAATGTTCCAAATATTCCAAGAAATGTAGCATCTATCCATTTATTGTTTGTATTTTTTGTAAATACAGTTTATTGCTTATTAATGGATCCAGAAGTGTCATATACTTTAGAAATTAGAAATGTGTGGCAGACCCCTTGCAACCATATCTTTGATGAAATTCATATTTTCCATCCATATCAAATGTTAATTTGTCACTATATAATGTGTAATGTCTATCATTAAAAACTCGATATTTTGATCTTGATTTTAAGAATTTGGTTTCCTTTTCATTATCATGTGCCATTTCATAATTAAAAAAGTATACAGGCACAAATACCAGTGCTGCTTCTTCTCTTACACCATCCACATATGATTTCTTTGAGGCATCATTACCATTTGTTGGTGTAGCTAAATTGATTATTTCTCTTATTGCACACCTTAAAGTCAGCGGACATTGTTTTTGTTCAATCAGTTTTAAATAAAATGTTTGTTTGTGTGTCCAGATATGATTTATTTACAGTATCATTAACATCAATTGGTGTGGCTGAATGATTTATTTTATTATAAGCCATATGAAATGTAATAGAATTGTCATCATTAATTGCATCTTGGTTTTTTAACTCTTTGGTCATTTTAATTAGTGTGATGAGATGAAGAGAACCATTTGCTATTTCAAACTCTTTATCCCACACTAAGTGGAACGTCGTTGTGATATCCCAAGATGCCATAAACTGTGAAACAAACGACTAAATCTTCTGCATAAGCCACACCTGATTTATTCTACAATGCTAAATCCATCATCAGATAACTAGGTGTTACATTATTGTACTTGTGTATATGAACCAATGATCTGGTATAATCTGCAGATTTACTAGTTGATACCCTGGAAATTGTTTAAATACTACTTGTAGCTGATATGTCAACTGATGAATGGTCAATAGATGCAGAGGGGAAGTATAACTCAAATACCACTGTATATTCGCCAGTTGTAAGTTCATACATATTTTGCGCTATCCAAATGGAGTTTCATTTCATAGGTTTTTTTTATTGAACTGATGATAGTCTTGATCAATGCGTTTAACCCCTGTAATGTTAGTATCATCACTGAACTGTTTACTTTTATTCATAATATAGGAAAATGTGTTTTACAAATCTGCACTATCAAGAGACTAATTTAATCTGTCAGTAACATACTTCTGATAATGAATAGATATTAGTGTGTTATTATTGTTAATAGTTGTATTGATAAAATTAACATCAGCAGCATGTCTTTTCTTGTGCCTGTGCCTTTTTGACATTAATTCTACTTCTGCTGTTCGTATTCAAATTACCAGTCATTACTCTTGTACCATCGGTTTTCAAATGATTGTTTGTTTTTGTATCAATATACCTTTTCTTGCCTCCATCTGTTGCACTTGTTGGGTCTGCTACATGAATCATCTTATTGCCTTTCATATCAAGACCTTTTGATGCGTCTATAGTAAAGGTTTTACTGTCAACATATTTCTTGTCGCTGATGTCTTGCCTTTGCCTCGAGGCTACAGCTTCATCATCATATTGTGTTCTAATGAGGTCATAAATGGTCTTATCATCAGCTTCCCATCTGTTACCACTTCCCAATATTACCAATTGGTTATCATCACTTTTCTTTCTGAATGTTGTCTCGCAGAATGCCTTATTAAAAGCGTCATTATTTGAAGTGGGCGCATGCAAGTTCTTAATAGTCTGCAGAATCACCACTACCAGATGGCCCCTGGGGCCCTGTATCCCCTTTTTCACGCTTAGGTCCCTGTGCTCCAGTTTCCCCTTTGTCACGACCACCAACAGTAATGTCATCTTTATGACCCTTAGGACCTGGTATCTCCATTGACACCTTCAGGACCCTGAGACCCAGTACCACCACTACCAGGTGGCCCTTGCGCACCAGGATCACCCTTGGGGCCCTGTGTACCAGTATCTCCTTTGTCACTCCTATCTCCTCTAGCCCCCTGTACACCAGTATCTCCTTTTAGACCTCTATCATTTTTGTCTTATTTTGGACCAGTATCACCCTTATCACCTTTTGGTAAGGATGGTCCTGCTGGTCTTTCAACACCTTCTACAGATGTATCTATTTTGCTATGATTTCAAGTAAATATACCCATTATAAGATATGCTTATATAAAATACTGTTTTATGAATTTTTCATTATAAGCATAATATGTATGGGAAAACACCTTTACGACATTTTAATATGTCTTTTCCATACCGTGGTCATTCATGTAATACAAACAATAGTTGGTATCACGTAAGACACCGACCAAATCCTGATACTGTGTGCTGTTATACACATCATTGAGATTTAATATATTGTACAACTTTATAACCTCTTTTGAACCAAAACTGTCGAAGTATTCGATTATCCCTTTAGATGTTCATAACAACCCAATGTGTACTACCACCCACACTGTCATTAAGATTCATAACATAGTATCCTATGCTATATGTATCACTTATTTGATCTCTAAAAAACACACCCATCAACTGCTTTATCCCCATTCACTTTACCCAGCTAATTATACCATAATTGGACCATGCTTTATTTACTAAACTGCGCCCATTACAGGGACTCTGTTAAATCGTGAATTTTTGCCCAACAGAAGTCCTTTTCCTTTGGCTGTCTTTTTTGTTTTTTTCTTTTATTAGAACAGCACCTATGGTACCTGTGTAACTAGACCAACTATCAATGAATGGTGGTGGTGCTTGAGGATACACTTCTCCCCCTTTAGACGAAGTACTTATAAATGGAGGTGGTCTATGTGGCACCAATGACTCATTTTATGTTTTCACCTACATGCCACTACCATCTGATTTTGGTGGTGGAAGAGGTGGTGGCGGTTGATATCTGCTATAAGCCTGAATATAATTACCAGTTAATGCTTTTAATAACACTGGCACACCGATACTTGAAAGCAGTGTACCAAGGAACCTGCCACTTTGTTTCATTGTTGCTTTGATAATAAGAGGACTTCCTAACCTAATATCTTCTCCTAGTTTATTAATCTGGCCTGCATTAAGCATATTCTGATGGGGGATAAGCTTGATTGTGCAGTTCGTGCAGTTGATCCTATCAAGGTAGTTATGTCTTTCGTCCGGTTGAACACATTAACCTAGTTTGAGCATTTGACCAGCATCAACCATTTCAGATAGTTCAATTTGTGAACTTTTTTACTGTTTTTGCTAGTTTGATTATCTTAACTACCTCAACCAATTAAGCTAGATGCTGCTTTTTTGTGTAAAGGAACCATTTAAGCTAGTTACGCATTTTGTGCAATTGAACCATTTAAGCCACTTTGATCACTTGAGCTACTTCAACCAATTAACAAAGATTTTACAATCTGTGCAGTTTGACTGTCTTGGCTGCTTTGACCGTTTAAAATACTCCAACCAACTGAGATAGATTCTGCAATTTTATTGACCTTAGTTTGACTGTTAAACCAGGTGAACCATTAAATTACTTCTCGTTTAGATTTATCTCACTGGAAAACGTTTTTCGCTCGTTTGCCGCTGAAATTAGCTGCTTTAAGCTCTGTCGCATCCAAAAAAGGTTTTCTGCCTGTTTTCAGCTGGGACAACGAAGATGGCTGTCGGAGAGAGAGAAGACTGGATTTACGAAGGGAGGTAATGTTTCCGCTGCCTCTCACAGGATCATATGGCCAGCGTTTGCAAGGAGAGTGTCCAGTGCAGTATTTGCAGAAGCGAGTGTCATTCAGACCTCTTGCACTTAACAAAAGAGGAGAAAAAGGAGAAAGGAACCAAAGAGAGAGAAAGCGATGGCGTCCCGTGGGATAAAGAGGAAATACCAACTCCCAAAGTCGCGATGCAGTATCCCCACCTTAAAAGTATTGACGAAGGTTGAGGACCGAAAATTCATCGAAATGATGGAAAACAGCACTAATAAGAACGCACAAGGAAACTGGGAAATGCCCCTACCATTCTGCTTGCAGAACGTGTTCATGTCAAACAACAGGAGTTATGCAGTTAAACGCCTGAATAACCTACTAAGAACCTTGCAATGCAAACTGCAGATGTAGAAGGATTACGTCGACTTCACATGAAGGCTGTGGAAACGTATGGTATCTTCCGCTTTTTGGAGTGTATCATCCGAAAAAGCCAGACCAAGTGGTTTTCAACTCCTCAGCTGAGTATGAAGGCGTATCCCTCAACTGAAAAGTGCTCACAGGCCCAGACTTCATGAACAGTTAAATCGGAGTATTATCGCATTTTCACCCTGAAGACATCGCAGCTATGTGCGACGTGGAACAGATGTTATATTCTTTTCTCATAAGCCCAAAACACAGGAACTTCCTACGCTTCTTATGGTGCAAGGACAACGACCCTTCACAGAACATCATAGAGTATACGATGACTGTTCACCTGTTCGGTAATGGACCTAGTCCCGCGGTAGCCACCTATGGCTTTAGGAGGACAGTCAAAAACGGTGAGGAGCTCGATCCGGCAGTTAAAGAATTTGTTAAAAGAAACTTCTGCGTAGACGACGGCCTTGTTTCAAGACCGACTGCAATAGAAACTATCAAGCTAGTGAGAGACACAAGCTACCCTTGCTACAGCAAACCTTAGACTCCACAAAGTGGTGTTGAATGCCGTGTCAGTAATGCAAGCTTTCCCACAGAAGATCCAACTAAGGAAATTTGCAGGCAAGATCTGCATAATGACGAGCTCCCAGCACAGTGTTCAATTGGTGTGTTCTGGGACCTGGAGAGAGGCATACTGGTATTCATTTACAAGGTATCGGTGACCAACCTTCACCTGACGCAGAGTCCTTTCGTCGGTGAACTCAATATATAACCCCTTGGGTTGTACTGCACCAGTCTTGCTATAGGGCAGACTACTACTACAAGAACTAGTCGCCATGAGCGAGAAGACAGCTAGCACTGAGCTTCTTGGGTGGGATGACCCTTTTCGGGAAAAATACGCAGACAGATGGCAGTGCCGGACGAATGCACTATTGGATTTGGAGAAAGCCTCCACGTGTCATTGCTACCATTTGAATTTTCTGAATTTGGATCAGTCACCAGGGCCGAGATCCATGCCTTTCCAGGTGCCAGCCAATGATCAATCGGAGCAGCAGTCTACCTCTGCCTGTTTGATGCCAATAATGAAGTAGCCATATCACTTGTCTTTGGTCAGGTTAAAGTAGCTCCAATAAATGCTGTCAGCATCCTTCGACTCAAACTCTGCAGAGCTGTATTGGCAGTCCAAGCCGTTGAGAAAATATTGAAGGAGTTAAACATGATGGCATCTGAAGTGACCTTCAACATGGATACTAGGGTCGTCTTAGGTTACATCGGTAACAAGAGCAGAAGATTCTATGTCTACGTGGCAAATTGCATGGAGTTTATCGGAAAAATCTTGACACCTGACTAATCAGGGTACGTGGAGAGTTCCAGCAATCCTGCCAATCTGGCTACTCAAGGCCTAAAGGCAAAAGATCTCACTGAGTTGGATTGGCTAAGTGGCCCCTAGTTCTTAGGGAACACTGCATCTAGCACTCCCGAAGTAGACATAGATCAAGAGACCCTCAGTGCAGACGATCCAGAGTTGCACAAGGAGATGAAGGTTTGCGTCACTAGAGCCAAGCCACACAATCGAGGCGCACTACATGAGGAAGTTTTCAAGAGGTTTTCCTCGTGGCTGTCCCTCAGATGTGCCATCGCCACCCTTATAACTAGGGCAAGGTCCTTTAAGATGAGCAACGCAACGGACAAAACCTCAAAACACAATATGAACAACGCCTACCCCTGAAGTGCTTACTCAGGCTACCAATATTATTATTAAGGCCGTCCAGATGGTCATAACGGTGTCAAAGATACAAAGAGAAAATCATAGAAGTCACACCAGTATCAACTAGACCCCCTACGTCGACGATTCTGGAATCTTGAGGGTTGGTGGACATCTTCGTTGGTCTAACCTGAGTTCCCAAGAAATGCACCCGGTACTTCTACCAAAAGGCCATCCTGCATCAAGGCCGCTGTTGAGTCATTACCATCAAGAAGTACACCACCAGGGACGCTAGATCACTTACAGAGCCCTACGGAACGCTGGGTATTGGCTCGTAGGTGATCAAGTGGCTGTGGCAAAGCTAATTAGTTCCTGTGTGACATGCAGAAAGCTATGAAGTTCAATATTAGTACAGCAGATGGCAGACCTGCCACTTTACAGGAAAGAGGCTGAACCACCCTCCACGAACGCAGGTTTCGACGTGTTCGGTTCATGGATGGTGCAGACAAGGAGAACGAGAGGAGGGGTGGCGAACTTTAAGTACTGGGGATTAGTTTTTACATGCTTAGCTTACCTTAGATGTGACCGAGGCAGCAACTTCGTCGGTGCAAAGTCTGAGATTGATGAAGCCCTCGCGGAGATGGATAATGAGTCGGTTGCGAATTACCTGTCGGAACAGAATTGTGAATGGATATTCAACCCGCTCCACGCGTCTCATTTCGGCAGTGTATGGGAACGTCAGATTGGTACCATCCAAAGCATCCTAGACACCATGCTCTTGGAGTTAGGGGCGCAACAGCTAACCCACGAGTTTTTGGTTACCCTGGTGTCAGAAGTCATGGTGATAGTCAATACCTGCTCGATCACGGTGATACCATCCGATATTGAGGACCCTTTACTGTTGACACCAGCTATGCTGCTTACGCAAAAAGACATATACGCTTGGACCACTTCCAAGTACCTTCACAACACAGGATGTCTATGCTCGACAGAGATAGAGAAAGTTGCAATTCCTAGCCAGTCAATTTTGGACCAGGCGGAGACGAGAGTACATCAAAAATCTCCAGGTGCAGATGAAGTGGAAGAAAGAACAGCAAAATCTAGTAGTTGGAGACATGGTCCTGATGAAAGACGAGCAAGCCCACCGAAAAAACTGGCCCCTGGGCTTCTATTTGGTGGCCAATCTATTACAAATCTAACACGAAGTTACATAGAATCTTGTTGAACTATAATAAGCTTGCATGCAATGAACTATAAATAAGGTTCAAGGTAACTGAGATCAGTCCCTGTAATTAGTGTCCAAATGTTCAGCAAAGTCCAAGGCTCTTCCATAACTTGAGAGAGGGTCTGATGAGTCTCTCGATGAGAGACAGGGAGGTGGGATTGGCTTCAAAGGAGTTAAAGCCTTATGCTGAGATTGTCGCTTCCTAACACAGGGTGTAGCTGTCTTTTCTGTAGTGCTGGGTGAGGTCAGCTTGTCAGTAGGGATTGGGTTGATATGAGAACGGTTTCGTCTCACTACGCCTTTCTCCGTCTCAATCAGATAGGATCTGGGTGTTTCTGCTGATCGGGTTATGGTACTAGTGGTGGAAGTGCGTGAAAGGTTGGGATGGTGTTTCTGAGTTTCCGTCCCATTAGTAGTTCTGATGGTGAATAACCACAAGCATGTGGGTAGATCTATATCCTGAAAGTCCCTTGGATGGGTCTTTCTCTTTTTTTAGCAGTGATTTAATAGTTTCTACCGCACGCTCCACCTCACTATTGGATTGTGGGAAGCAAGGACTGCTCGTGATATGCTTGAAACCCCACTCTTTAGCAAAGTTAGTGAATTCTGCTAAAGGGTACTGTGGGCCATTGTCGCTTCTTCTGGGATTCCGTGTCTTGTGAACATTGCTTTCAATGACTTCAAGAGACTTGCTGGTCTTTTGCATGGCAGCTACTCTGATATAGCGCGAGAAGTAGTCCACCACTATCAGGTAATTCAGCTTGTCGAGCTCAAACAGATCTGTTGCAATCATCTGCCAAGGGCGTTCAGGGAAGGAGGTTGGCATTAGTGGCTCGGCCTGCAGTTGTCGGTATTTAGCACAGACCTTGCAATTCTCGACCATGTCTTGAACCGGCTGAGACCAGGCCACCAAATATAAGCCCTTGCACGTTCCCTGCACTTGGCTATTCCTTGGTGTCCTTCATGCACTTTGTCCAGGACTTGCAGCCTCATAGCTGATGGCACAACAATTCTTGATGACTTCATTAATAATCCATAGACTACAGTGAGGTCTCCTCTAACTGACCACTAAGGCTTAATTGCATCGTGAAGGTGAAACTTGTCTGGCCAGCCTTCCATGCAGTAACTCTTTATCTTTCGACAGACAGGGTCTTCATCTTGGGCCTCCTTTATTTCCACCAGCTTGACATCTGACACTGGTAAGGAGTCCAGTACGCTGTTGACATAGATGTTCGTTTCTTCATCGGGAACAGTTGCCTTTTTGTGTGAGTTATTAGGTTGCATTCTGGATAGAGCATCTGCGATGTACAGTTATTTTCCAGGCACATGGTTCACCTCTTTCAAGTGGAAGCACATAAGACGCATTCTTAGCCTCTGTATTCTAGGAGGGACTTCATCCAGTGTACTTGTAGTGAGAAGGGGTACCAGAGGTTTGTGGTCTGTTTCAGCGACGATAGACTTTCCAACTATGTAATCGCTGCATCACTCACAGGCCCAGGTTAGTCCAAGAGCTTCTTTCTCTATTTGTGCATATCTGTATTCTTCTGGGGTGATATAAACACCACATGGATATAAACACCACAGGTCTCCAGGTCTGGTCATCTTGCCTCTGTAACAGTACTCCTCCTAGTCCAAACGATGATGCATCTGCTGAGATTTTGGTTTCCAAGGAACTTGATTCTTGTTGCTCTAAACACACACTTCTCGATGTTTAGTGTAACACCTGCTGTGGTGAGCCGCTCCAATAATTGCCCCAATCTTTTGTTGTGTAGCTCTCAGGTAGGGGCATGGACGAGCACGTCATCAATGTTACATTCAGTTCCATTGAGCCCCTCAAGGATCCTGCTAATACATTTCTGAAACTTTTCTGAACCTGAGCTTATGCCATAGGGTAGCACATTGAAGCAGAATCGACCCCAGGGTGTAATAAAAGTCGTGAAGTGTCTCGAAGTTTCGGACAACCTGATCAGCCAGAAATCAGAGTTTGCATCGAGCTTTGTGAATATCACGTTGAACATATTCATTGAGCTTCGTCGAGTCCACGCACACTCTCACTTTGCCATTAGGCTTGGGGGTGACCACCATTGGGGCACACCACTCCGTAGGGTTATCTACAAGCGATATTACTCCACTCTTTAACATTCTTTCGATTTTGCTCTTGGTGATGTCGTAAAGTGGCATTAGGACTGAGAGGGCAAAGGGCTTTGCGTCATCCTTTAGCTTAATGGCGTATTTCTCTTTCATGACTCCAAGTCCTATGAACAGCTTGGGGTAGCTATGCACCACTTTTGCTTTGTAATCGTCGCTGGTCAATTCACACACCCAGATGAGGTTAAGTTTCACTGCAGCGGATCTGCCTAGGAGTGGTCGTGCCAAGCTCTTCACTGCATAGATGGTTTCTATAACAATGTTTGAGATTTAGGCAAGGTTAACTACCACTTTTCCCTTACAGTTCGGCTTGTAGTTACAAGGGCCCATTAGCACTTTACTGACAGGCTCCAGCTTTGTTTACAGATGAAGGTTGAGAGCACCATATAGAACAACAGTGACATCTGCTCCGCTGTCAATCTTGAAGTCTACTTTTTCATCTTTGACAAGAACGGTTGCCATCCACGGTGTTTTCGTGGAGACGCTTTGGACTTCATGCAGGTCTACCACTTCTCCAAGGAAGAAGGATTCAGGATCTTCTTCAGTGGCGATTTCAAACAATTTGCCGGGTTTTGAGCCTTTGCAAGCTTATGCCCAGCGACTAATTTTCAAGCATTTTCTACACTTAGAAAGACGTGCTGGGTAGATTTTCTTCGGATGAAAATTACCCAGGCATCAACATATTTCTTGTTAACCACATCTTTATTACTGCCATCACTGCTGTTATAATCTGGTATTAATAACCTGCTTTTTAACTCGTAAATTGCACGCATGCGCAAGAGCGAGTTATGTATACGATGTGGGGAATAGCATTTGCTCGCTCGATTAGTCGATTCCTGTAAACTTTTTTTCGATTTTAGGCTTTTGAGTGCATTTGATAGTTTTTGGCGAGCAATAAACAAACGAAATGGCGGCCTTTGTTGCTAAGAATAGTGGTGGGGTGAAAAAGAAGCCAATGACAATCTTAGAAGAGTGTTTTTTTTTTCGTTTTAGTTTCAAAAAGCGGCGCCAGCGACTGGCAGGCATGCAAGGATTCACACAGAAATAACAGAACAACCTTTGTTTTTCATAAAATTGTAATTCACAATCCTTGAACTTGAAAACAATCCGAAGATTCATTGAAAATATCACTTACTGCGAAGCGCACGGAGTTTACAGATGTTCAAAAGCTTTTTCTGTTATGGCGTGAGATTGAGGACAAAATCGATCATTACGTTTCGTATCGTGTGTTTTTCCTGTGTGAAGCAACAAAAGATGCCGGCGACTGACGAAATTACAAGTTAACACGAAAATCAAATAACACTTAAACAAACAATTTTAGCTACCAATTTTCAGTGAATTTTTAACGAACAATTTTCTTTTAAGTTTCAAGACAATTTGAAGATTGAAAATACGTATTGCATACTAAAATGCGAAAGTTATACACCACAAAATTGATAAATAGGCCTGAAATGAAATTCTATCTTGTATCTCGTTATTGATTATACGTTGCCTAGCACGTGACTAAAATCTACCCAGGCGGAGATCCAAAAATGACGGTGGCAGTCTTGGCTTTGTTAT